TCCGTAGATATGTAAATAATTCCCTAGGTGGTAGAGAGTACTCTTTAACCAATTCTGGAAATGATTTAATGTCTGAGCCATTATAGACTGACAGTATATGGCATACACCCTAGTTGTGTCCAAAGTTCCAACTCTAGGTCTGACGTAAAAGCCGTCAGGGTCTGCAAAGGTGCAGCAAATAATAAATATGCTCCCTTCTACAAAAACTCTCCATATCTAAACTTTTGATAGGACAAGATATGTTGCCTTGTTCGGTACCGTGTTCCCTGCCCATAATGCAGAAATTAGTGAGCCTTGTGGAAACCATGCACTTTCTAGTGGTAGCCAGAGCGGAGTAAAAACCCTTTCAAGTGTCAAAAGACCTTGAGCAAGTAGTGTAGCATTGTAATAAATTTCGACATTTTGGGACACTTATACCACCTTTAGCAAATGGGAGCCAAAGCTGATCTTGTGCAATTCTTGGTGGTTTCCTTTTCCAAATGTGTGCATTAATCAGTAATTGGTAAAGGATATGAGGCAAAATTATCATTATCACAAACACTGGCCAAAGTTAGCATTCATAATTGTTTTTTGCATTTTTAACACACAAATATAAATGCTAACTTTGGCTAGTGTTTGTGACTACGTGGTTACTAAAAAAGACTGGACATACCCCATATTGAATACCCTGGATTGTCTACTTTAAAAAAAATATGTACATGTGATGTGTAATTCAGAGATTTATGACAGATAAGTGTTACAATGTCACTATTGATAAATTTAAAATAAATATATATATATGTATATGTATATGTATGTGTGTGTGTGTGTGTGTGTATATATATATATATATTGAAACTGCAATGTCCTACTTTTGTACCTATAGCCCTATAACTTGCAAAAAAGGCTAAGAACATGTTAACCCCTTAGTGACCAGACCGTTTTCCAATTTTCTTACCGTTCTGGACCAGGGCTGTTTTTACATTGCGTTTTGTGTTTAGCTGTAATTTTCCTCTTACTTGTTTACTATACCCACACATATTTATATACAGTTTTTCTGACCATTAAATGGTCTTTCTAAAGATACCATTATTTTCATCATATCATATAATTTGCTATACATTTTATTTTTTTTACACACTTTTTCTAACTTTGACCCCCAAAATCTATTACGTATCTACAACTGCCAAAGAAACACCCATGTTAAATAGTTTCTAAATTTTGACCTGAGTTTAGAAATACCCATTGTTAAATACAAACCCTCACACAAAACATTTAGATTCTGGGGGCATGGCCTGACTACCTATGTGAATGGGTGCATCTCTGGCGAGCTCCCGGCAAGCTGATAAATAAAAACACCGCCAACTGCAGTTCTTACCTGAAAATTGGTAATAAGAAGAAATCCTCTCTATCCCAGGACTCTGCTGGTCCAGACTCTTGCAAGAAAGCGAGCTAGTTCAATAAATATTTCAGGGACAAAGTGAGAGTCCTCGCGACAAACCCAGACAAGGGCGAGGTGAAGCCATTTTCCCCACGTGGCACCCTGCCTGAAATGAAAGCCCGACAGTTTCGGAGCAATCCTGTCCCTCTGGGGTATCAAATCTGAAGGAGATACTGCAGAACCTTCCTTCAAGAGAGGATCTTGCCTCTGTTGGCCAAATTGGAGAACTCTATGCAAGAGAGGCTGTCATCCATCACCTCAGAAGTTTGGCAGATTGGGCTCAGAGTAGGAAATTTAGAAGAAGCCAGAGACAACCTGATACTCTATGTTTCTATGTTTCTATGTTACTCAGAGTACACCAACTGGAGCAAAGACAAGACTCACTGGTGGTGAAAACTTCTCACACAATGAGACATATGGAAGACCTTGATAACCGAGGCAGGAGAAATAATCCCTTTACCTGATGGTACGGCGTGCAGAATATTGAGGGGGGAAGGGAAAAGGGCTTTCATCATACTCATCTTTAAAAAAAAAAAAAAAAAGTTATGAATGTTTATAGTGTGCTCCTGTATATGACCACAAACTCCCGACACTTCCGTGATACTTGATAGTGCAAGATTATTTTAAGGAGACAGACCGCATTCTGTGCAGCTCTGTCCAGAAAGGAGGAATTCTCTGTGGGTGCCAGGGGTTCCCCTGCTCTCTTCCACAGAAGCCCATGGTCACGGGTGTAACAGGTGAGGATCAAAGAGTTACTATATTGGTGGGTGACCCAGGGGATGGGAAAATTATAATTCACAGTGTCCTATCACTCAGGCGTGGGTACAGGGGGCAGTGATCATCATATCTTGAAAGGCTTTTGCTTGCTTGATTTTCGGTTCTGTGATGCGTATCACCTAATTTTAATTTTATGTATGGAAGCACAACACATGAAATGTTAACATGCACACACATAGTATTTGGATCCATAATAATGTAGAAGGCGCATGGCAGCGCCACCAACACGACTTTTGATAGAAGATCAGCTGCAGGGAGCAGCACAGTTATATTATATTTCCATTGCTAGTCAGGGCAATATGTTATTCTCAAGGGCCTTATCGGCACCTTTCCAATGACTTTGGCTAATATTTACTTGCCCAAGAAACACCAATGCAACACATTTTGGAGGATACTGTCCGTAATATAAAAAGACAGTTGGGGCTCTGATCATGGGGGGATACTTTAACATCTCCTTGGATGCTCAGAAAGATAGCACTGCCACTCAGTCGTCCCATCTAACTTCCGCAAGGACACAAATGAAACGCCTACTTCAGTTTGTCGATTGCTGGAGAGTGCTCTATCCCAACACTAAAGATTATATGTTCTATTCGAGGTCTAACTCTACATATATTAGAATAGATTTATTTTTTACTACACATAGAGATCTCTCCCTCATTACTAAGGCATCTATCGGTAGAATCACCTGGTCTGACCATTCCCCAGTACTCCTTCAAATTCCATCATTCCCGCGGGAGGCTATTAGCCAATGTGTTGAAATCGAGACAGGAACGGACATACATCCCACAGATTAAGACGATCGCTAATAAAATGGTGCATATTAATGAGGAGATTGCAAAGGCATTCTGTAACTTCTATAACTCCCTTTACAACATCTCTAAAGAGGCACCAGACATAAATGAAATCAGGGCATATCAGGCAAATAAATTCGACCGGATACTCCCAAACGCAATTTCACGATCACTTGATGAACCATTGACTTTAGCGGTATTAATTAACCCTATTAAATCTACCCCTTCAAGTAAAAGCCCAGGCCGGCATGGGTTTTTGGCATCGTACTATAAAACTTTCTTGAAAGAATTAGGCCCCCACTTACTGGAAGCCATTAATTCCATCGGACTGAACAACTCAATACCTCAGACTAATCCAGAAGCCAATATCACACTCCTTCCTAAGCCTGAGGAAAACCCAGACTCATGCAGAATCTACCACCCGATTTCATTGATCAACGTTGATATGAAAATGCACACACATTACAAAAATTCTAGCATTGCGGTAAAGGCCCTTACTCCCGCGATTGATACTCCCTTACCAGGCAGGATTTGTGCCCTCTAGAGAGGCTAAAGACAACACCACAAAAATAATTAGCCTCATTCAAGGCGCGCAGCATGGAAAGGTTCCGTTCATTATGCTGGCTATTGACGTGGAAAAGGCGATCAACAGGGTGGACTGGAGTTTCCTCCTGTCGACGCTGGAAACCCTGGGATTCGGCAAGAGGTGGATGCAGTGGATCGACTCTGTATACTCATGCCCTTCTGCAAAACTTTAAAATCAATGGGCAATTATCCAAATCATTTCCAAATTACAAATGGGACCTGTCAGGGGTGCCCCTTGTCTCCACTCTTATTTATCCTGGTCTTTAAACCCTTAATGAACACCGTGAGACAACAGCCTCAAAAAGAGGGTATGACAGTAGGCTCACAACAATATAAAGTATCTGCTATCACAGATGATTTATTGTTTACCCTGAGTAATCCAACTAGCTCTCTCCCAGTTCTCATGAGCGAGCTTTCTACTTATAGTGAACTGTCTAACTTTAGAATAAACATAGAAAAATGGGAAATCGTAACCTTTATGCTAAATGATAAGGACAAAATGCAATTGCAAGCGCAATATGCTTTTCAGTGGGCCCAACGTTCTATAAAATATCTAAGCATTAACCTAACCCCCCACACCAAAAATGCATTCCAAGCCAACTTTCCAACAACTTCCCATTCGTAGGGACATAGATAATTGGAACAGACCACACTTCCGCTGGTTCGGAACTGTTAACATAATCAAGATGAATGTTCTTCCCAGGCTACTATATATGAGCCAAAAAAATGACCGAGAATAGCATATAATATCCTCAATAGACCTAAGGAAAATGGAGGTGTGGGCCTCCCCGACATATGGCTCTACTACCAGGCAATTCATCTGGGGCGTATTGTCGATTGATCTACACGACCACCATCTAAATTGTGGATCTCTATGAAGCAAGCTCAAACAGGTGATTCATTATTGGCTCTACCTTGGCTAATAATGGCGCCAAATAATTGTTCTATCCCTCCCCACCCAACAGTGGCAGCAACTCTCCGTATTTGGAAAAAAATCTATCATATGCCGGATCTGGCACCAACTCCATCCCCTAAATACCCTATATCTTACCCCCTACTTATATCAGGCAGGAGCAGAATATTGTTATTACCATGGAGTAAGAGTAAGCATGACATATACACTCCGCTAGTTAGTGTCATGGGGGAGTGAGGAATGGTACCAATAACTGCACTGACTACACATAGACCTCCAACCTTTATGCAAAGGTTCCAATACTTTACAACACTTTTTTTAAAGGCTCAGGATCTGTTAAACTGGAACAATAGGGAACTCAAC